GCTCCTGACTCTTTAGTACACCTTGGCTCTGCTTTTGAGTATCATTTACAGTGTATCCCAGCTAACACCCAGTGAGGACTTGAAGTAATTTCTGCCATCTCATAAAAGATTGTAATGCAAGGAAATTGAGATTTTAAATATTATTTTTAAATAGTAGAAATACAGAACAAAATGTCTTCGCATTTTAAGTGTTTAAACAGAATCCAAGTGACCACAGACTCGGAATGTGAGCCTCCCCCTCTCCCTGAGTAACTCACGACTATCCAACTCCTCCCTAGCAAGGCAGCAGCTCGCTGGTGGCTGCCTGCCTGTGCCCAGCAAGTCTCATTCAGAGACACTATACACTCTCCACCATGTCTCTCGGTTCCCAAGCATTCCTGCATCCCACCACTGAGCTTGATACATCACAGATGCTCAGCAAATAGGCCTGGGAAGGGTGGATGCATAGATGGATTGATGGATGGATGGATGGATGGAAGAAAGGAAAGGTGGGTGGGTGAGTGAGCAGATGGATGGATGGTGGATGAGTGGATGGATGGGAGACTAGATGGTAGGAAGGAAGGGTAGATGGATAGGTAGCTAGATAGATGGATGATGGGTACATAGATGGATGGTGAGTAGAGGGGTGGTTAGATGAATGGATGGTAGGTATGTAGATGGATGGTGGGGGGTAAATGGATGAATAGATAGAAAAAAAGAAGATAGGGTGGGTAGGTGGGTGTGTAGGTAGATGGATAATAGGGGGAAGGATGGATGGATGGTGGGTGTTTTCAGTTTGGTAAACTGAGATTCAACCACTGAAAAAAGTAAGCTGGCTTTTCGTCCATTTCTCTCAAGCAAGCAAAATAGGACGCTTTCAGAGAGAACTTTAAAGGCTTCCAGGAGTCATTTGGGCAAATCATATTAGTAATTCAAGCGTGCCAAACACAAACAAGTTTTCACGGTGGAGCCACTATACCTAACCCAAGAGAAATTCTGATGGAGAATGTTTGATAGCGTTTCTTTAGAGATTAAAAACTATCAAAGCCATAAAACTCACATGGAAGGAGTCTTAATTGTTTGATAGAACTTCCCCGAATTTGAAAAAGCACACACTGATGGAAATTCGTCTTCATTCTAATCTGACACGTAACTGAAAACCTATAGTTATATTTGATGGGACTGAAGAGCCCCCTACTGGCCGCTGAAGTCAACTATCCTGTGACAACTTCTGAAAAGTTCAATTATGAATTAATTACATCTAATTGCCCATGACCTCAAACTATCTGTGGGTAATTTAAGTGAAGGCTTATCATTGCTAAATGAAAATTAAAAAAGCAAAGGACACCATTTTTCATTAACAAATTGGCAGAGAGTTTTTTATTGTTAATACTCGTTAAGGAGAGGAGTGTGGAAAAACAAATTCACTTATCGACAGCTGAAGAAAGTGCAAGCAGAGAATCTCTGTGAGGGCAGGTTGACACAGTGGCCAGAAAAAAGAATAACATAAGCCCTGAGGTCCAACCGCCGCGGGTCTGGCCTCGATCTAAGGGAATGACCCGTCACGGGCCCCCAAAGCTCATCGAAGCGCTGTTTGATTTCGTGAGAAGGCAGAAACCTTCCAAATGTTCAAACTCAGAAGGTTAGATCAATAAATTATGGGACATCACGCTAAAATGATATTGGAGAAATAAATTTCATGCTGCATAAACCAGAATGTAAAGCAGCGTATAAGGAACGATCTCATTTTGGCAAATCTGGGTGTCGAAGATGGTCTGTAAAGACGGGAAATGTTTGACAATTCACTCGTATGGAGGAAGCAAAGGGTGTTGCTTATGTGTCTGAATACGTATTCTGAAAATTGTGCTCATGAGTACTGCTTGACATGTACATGACAATAAGGAAGGGCCAAATTTCCAGGAATTTCCATGTTTTCGAAGCTTGGCCCATCGCCTTTTGTGTCTGTGAACGTCCCTTGTCTCACGGATGCCCAGCCTGGGCCAGCAGCCATTCTTCCCTCCCGCTCCCTGGGGAAGGACGGCAGCCGCTCTCCCTCCAAGGTCATCCTCTGCTGACCTCCCTCCCATCCCACACTGCCTCAGATCTCCGGGCTCCCCACGCTTCTAAAAGAACGCTCCCTGCCTCAGTTTCTGACTCTTTCACCCTTCAGCCCCATCACCTGGCTTCTGTCCCCTCCACACCCCACCAAGGCCACCAGTGACCTCCAAGTGACCAGCCCCGGCTACCGTTGCCCACTCTCTTCCTGCACAGCTGGCTCCCCTGGGCTGTGGGGACAGCTCTCTCTTCTGTGCCCTTTGTTCTACCCAGTGCTGCTCTCCTGCCCCACCAGCATCTCCACCCGTAGCCCTCGCCAGGCCTCCCCCACTGCCCTCCGCTGGTGAGCCCCGCTCTCTACTCCCAGTTCCCCGAGAACAGCCCCAGCAGGCCCTGCGCCCTGCTCCCGTCCCCAGCACGGCTGATGACTCCCCTTCTTCGGGCTCTGTGTTTTCACACTTCATCTGCAGCCTCCACTCCCGGTCACCTGCCTGACCCACTTCTCCCTCTTTCTGTCATTGGTGGTCCTCGCTGACGCCCCATTTTCCTCGGACCACCCTCACAAGCTGCCCTCCCTTCCCACGGGCCGGTCCTTGAAGGCAGGGACCCCAGTAATATTCTCCCTGCTGGAATGAAAAGGGACAGAGGAGGAAACAGGTCAAGGGTAGTGAGATGCTTTGGAACGGGCATCTTGTCTACCATGGAGACAGGGCAGTGTGACGCCTGGTTAATAAAGGCAGATCCGGGTCTGACTCCAGGCAGACTGACTCCAACATTTCTCCAGTGCAGGGCGGGGGGTGGGGGGGCATGTTACCCCTTCTCTGCCTCAGTGACCCCATGTGTAAAGGCCGAGACACTGGGGCGAGCATGGCAAAGTAGGCACTCAGCGAGCGAGGGAGACGTGGTGTCATGGAGATCAAGGCGCTTTGCAAATGATCATTCCTTGTACTGATCGTTATCGTCAAAGAACTCGCAGGGGAAACGTTTTCTGCTTCATTTGATAAGAACTGAGCCCTCCCAAACCACGTCACCACCAAGGTCCCCCACACAGCCCCGTGTGCCCCACAGCAGGTGTATGGTCCTGGCAAAGCCATTCCTTCACAGGTGTGGGTGAAAAATACAGGAAGCGCGGAATTCCCCCACCAGCTCCGAAGGTGCACACGAGTTCAAGGAACAATTGTTGACTTTCACATTCAGTGGAATGCCACGACCAACACGATTTTAAATAAGATGCTGGAAGTATGACCGTTGGTCTGAAAACCATCCCAAGCTGATAAGACTTGTGCGTTTCAAGACCACTGATGCAACTTACTTAGAAGCAGAAGGGTCCAAAGGCTTGGGGCTCCCATCTGCAGTCGCCATGGAGAAGAGTGGATTGGGGAAATGGAGACGCGAAAAACCTGGAAAAGATGCCTCTCTAAAGCTCTAAAGCTTCGATTTTTAAGAGGGGATGAAAAGAATAAGATTCTGCCTTTGTCATTATAAAGTGTGTCTTTTCTAAGAAGTTGAAAACCCGGTATCTCATTTTCTTATTTTCTTTGGGGGCTCAAAGTAGGGAAGCTTTTGACTTAAAATAGCTTTCCTATTCCAGCAGAACAATGCTTTCTTGGACCCGCCGTCTGTCTGCATCGAGGGAGGGGGAACGGGTCACGTAAAGTCGGGGGGCCTAGGGCAAGGAACCCAGAGATCGGACAGCTGAAGACGGTGCCCGAGAGTCTGGCAAACTCTGCAGCCAGCAGCCTGGTCTTGCCTCCTGCTTCGGCCATTTTCCAGCTTGGACAGGTCACCTCGCATGCTTCAGCCTTGGTTTCCCCATGTGTAAACCTGATTGAGCCTTGCGGTAGCTGCTTTGTAGGGCTGTGGCGTGAACAAGGGTATTAAGTGGAAGACGTGCTGAGCCCGTGCTGGGTTAGTGCTGGCCCTGACCGTGACTGTGCTGCCGTGTGCGACGCGGGTGGCCCTGGCCAGGCACACGGCTGCTTGCTACCCGCTGGCGCTCCCCGTGGTTATCACACCCCGCCGCTCCGCCTAAGAACTGGGATTACAATTTGCAATTCTGAATTCTTAACCGCTGTGGCTCTGGGTCCAAAAACTAATGCGTACCAAACAGTGGTTGGTGGGTCACACCTCCTCTCTGAAGGTGCTGGTGAGTGTGGGACCGTGAAAGCACACGGCCCAGGTGTCACACTGGCGCCAGAATCGAGTCCCGTCACCTGCATAAGCTGCTTTGCTAGATACATAACTCTGGGGAAACAGCCGCCGTGTGCCTAGCGGCTTTTCCATCATTTATTAGATGCCCGTCTTGGTTAAAAATCACGCCTGCTGCCTTAATGAGGTTTTAGGAAACAGGAAAATAGGAGTACATAACGTTATATTCGCTGTGGCGGGAGGCGGGCTTTTATCGGTCACAGTTTTGCACAAAGCACAGATTGTTGCACAAATGCCGGAACTTTGCTGTCGTGGGGGCGCTTTGAAGAGATTGTGAGGTGTGTGGCAGTCACTCACAGGCGCCGGTGAGTCCCAGCCCCGTCGCGCAGCCCCACCCGCCGTGGAGGGGCTCAGAGCCACGTTCCAGGCAGAACCTCAGCCACAAAGGCACAGCCACACAGAGGCAAACAAATGGCGTTACGGGGGCCCTTGTGCTGAAACAGCCTTTCTCACGAAGCGCAGGTCTGAATAAACCCGGGAGCAGCAAGTAGGCTGTAATTAAAACTTGAGACCCAGATGCCCATTGATTTTGTCGCAGCAGAAAACTGTTGGTTTATTTCAAGCCAAACTGATTCCAGGCTCCAGGTCCTAGAGCAAAATGTGTGGACCGCAAGGGTGTCCTGCCCGTAGGTGGGAGAGGAGGCCATGGTGGGGGCCCCGCGCTGTGGCGCAGGAGGGCCAGTCGTGGGGTGGAGAGCCATCGGGCCCCGCCGCTAGTCAGGGACCAAGACAGAAACGCATGTCATTTCTCCTCGCAGGTGGCCCGGCAGCTCCAGCCCTCCGTGGTCTGGATTGGGGACACGGAAAAAACCTTCTACAAGAAAGTTCCCAGCACAGAAAGGATGGTAAGGGCTCCTTCAGCATTTTTTCCTTTGGCCTTTTCTTTCCTCCGAGGGGACTCTCACCAGGGACTGTCTCCACTTCTCAAGGTCTTTTTTAAGGGAGGAAGAGAATGAAGGGGCCAGTCTCTCCCTGCCATATACATGTCTGTATTTGAAAAAATTCAGTGGCCTGCTTTGATGAGGAATAATTTAGACCAAAAAAAAAAAAAAAAAGTGTGGAAGGAGGGGGTAGGGAGAGCTTTGGACCCAAACATGTGACTCAGAGGTAAGAAACAATTCAGAGAATTTTGCCGGGTTAAAGCAAATGGCACACAGAGGAGTTATTATTAGGATTTCCTATTGTTCATAATAATAAATAGCAAGGGCCTGAAATTTATGAACAAAGACCTTCTATAGAACTGCTAAGTGCCTGCATTTGTGGCCTCCAGGGAGCCGGCTTTCAACTGCTTCCTTCCTTCTTTTCTCTCCTTTAAGCGGCCCCCCTCCCCCGAACTTCCCCCCACAAATCACCAGCAAATTTCCCACAAGTTAAAAAAAATTTGCAGATACACATAATTGTTATTCCACATCAATTTGCACCAAAGCAAATAGTGGTTAACTGTGAATTTCTGATTAAATTCATAAGGATTTTAATCACTTTCGATCCTTATGTATTATACATCATTTTTAGCAGGTAGAGCTGATTTGGATAAAGAATGGAAGCTCAATCTTTTCTTCCCCCCAAATGAGCCTTGATTGCCCTGTCATTTTTAGAAGCTGTTAAAGAGATCTCATTCATGATTTACCGGAGTCTGGGAGCTAGCCCCCTCTGCTGGCCATGCGGCTACATTGACGAAAGTCCCCACCTACGAACGCGGGAGGACAGGAATTAACTAGGAGCCAGATCAGAGATCTAAAGACACTGCAGGGTGTGTGAGCCAAGGGGTCACACACCCGACATCATCAGAAACCCTGTCTTGATAAGGAGCAAGTAGGACATCAGCCTGGAGAGTAGGAGACGTGGGCTCTGGGCTCGCCCTGACGTTCATCTTAGCTGGCTGTGTGTCTGGGAGCAAGTAACTTAACCTCTCTGAGCATCCAATTCCATACCTGCTTAATTAAAGGGTTCATGAGGCCCCCTTGCACCCTCTGCCATGACCCCCTCGGGCGGTGGCCTTGCTATGAGCAGTGACAGCCATCGGCTCATCTGCACCCTGAGTCTGTGGGGACGGGGCGAAGGTGCAATGCTCGTGAGTAAGAGAGCCAGAGGGGCCCTGTGGGGGCGGGGGGGGGCTAGCGGCGGGAGATGAAACACGGGCTCCGCAGACACATCCCGTGTGCCAGGCGGGAGGGACGAGACGCCGGGGTCCAGACCTCCCTCTCTCTCGCCTGGAACTGCCCTCCTGTTGCTGAGCCCCAGGGATTCGCACGAGCTGCACTTCCCACAAACACGGCCACCGACTAGCCTGATGCCAGTGGGAAACGAAGTCCTTTGGTGGCAGAGTCTTTGCAGCGGACAAATCGACCTTAATTCTGTCCAGCTCTGCGTTCGAAGAGTCCGCCGTCTGTCAGGGGAATTAACTGCACTCAAGAGCGTGGACCAAGCGCTCAGATAACTCCCAGGGCGCCTGACAGAGAAGAAGCAGGACGTCCCCATCGCCGGGCGTTGGAGCCAGACAGCGGAGGGGGCGTGCAGGTCCCACCCCCCACGCGGGAGGGGGGGGTCGCCGTGTGACCCGCTCACCCCCACGTCCTGGGCCCGCCCCCGTGCTGCCCCCACTGCCGTGCTGGAAATCTGGGCCCACGGCTGGTCCGGCTGTCCTCTGCTTCCCCCGCACGCGGACACCGACTTCACGCTCAAGGGTCTCGGCCACCAGGGTCCGGAGCCGCCTCGAGCGTTGGCCGCCTGCCTGCTGAAGGTGACCGCTGAAAGCCAAGCCACCGTGGCAGCTGCATCCACGGGGGCCAGGAACCCAGAGGCAGCCCGACCAGCTTCTCCTCGGCGCCATTGGTCCCTCGGCCGAGCCGGGGACACCCAGCAGCCTTCTTTCCACCTTGGTCCCGCCTCTGTCCCAGACGCTCCTCAGTCCCAAAGGCACCGAGGCACAGAGAGGAACGGTGGCCCGCAAAGCAACGGGGGGCTGCCTCGTCCACGCCCCCAAGCACAGCACAAACAGCACCCCAGCTTTCCACTTCCTGGATCTGAGGGATTCCAGAATCTCCCGCTCGATGTGACTGCTAGTCCTCGATGCCTCAGCCTTTAGGGAAAGGCTCCCCGGGTGGTGAAGTGCATGAGGGTCACCCTGTTGTCAGCAGCGAAGCAAGGAAGAGGTCCAGACAGGCCGCGATGGCTACTGAGCTTGGCTCTGCCCGGGGAACCCGGGCTCCCTGGCACGGGGACCCCAGACCTAACACGTAAGACAGCTGCGAACAGGAAGAAGAGGTTCCCAGGGGCACAACTCCTCTGTCGGGGAAGCTCCCAGAAGGAGGCCGCCTCCCCCTGTTTTGCACAAGAGAACAGAGGCTCCAGAAGAGCCACAGCAGGTTGGGGGCAGTGCTGGGACCCAGAAGCAGGCGTGTCTGAATGCAGCGGGCGGGGGGGGGGGGGGGGAACACCACTGAGTACCCATTGTGCCGCCCTCCTGCTGCCTCATCTACGCCCACCTCTACCTGCCACACCTCTCCGACCCCCCCCCCCCGGACCACAGCCTGAAAACGGCCGGGGGGCCCTGCTCCGGAATTCCCACGCTCCTGACCGCACCCCTGTCCCCTGCCTTCGTCCTCACTGCCCTGAGAAGCCCTTCCACCTCCAGACTCTCAGGAGCGTCCCAGCTCCCGGGATGCCCCCCCCCCCCGCCGCCTTCACAAAGCCCCCTTCCCCTCTCCCCCTCCCGCGGCGAAGGCGGTAAAGAATGAGGCAAGACAGGCTGCAGCTGCATTTTCTGCACCATTAGCCTTCGTCACTAGGTCCAGCGGGCGCCTTGTCGACTCGGCGACAGACCTCTTGCTTTGCTGGCGCTCTGCCGTGCGATTTTGCGGAGCGGACTGTAGCAACGCAAGTGGAAATTGCTCTGTGGATGTGACTAAGCAATAATTTGAAATCACCCGCAATAATGCAGTGGTGTGGGGGCCGGCGGGACCGGCCGCGGAGGCGGTGGCTGCCGAGGTTGCCAGGTGACTGTGGGGATGTTGGCCGGTGTGATGGATGAGCACCAGGGTCTCGTGCATAATGGACAGGCCTCTGAACCGGAACAGGGGTGGCCCGGGTGCAGGGGAGTGCTGATGGAACGGACTTGCCTTTCATTTTCGTCCCCTGCTAATGGGACGACCCCTCCCCATCAGCAAGGATGTCACTCTGGATGCAGCCCAGGAACAACATTTGTTATCCAAACAGGCTAATTAAGTTCAGATATCCCTGCCATTTCAGGGCACGCAGGTGACAATATCATCTGCCTCGGAACAGGCAGACAGCACTGCCATCACCATGGCAACTAGGCTTCTGGGGATGGGCTCAGACCACACAAGCATGTCTCTCCCCACACAGAGTGGTGGTCTCCGGCTCCACTGGGACCCTGGGATCAGCCTCCTTCCACCAGCCTTTGGGCAGCTCCCCTGTGCACCCCGCACATCCCAGTCCCCCCTGCCACCCACTTTGTTCTCCATCAAGCTTCTTTTTTTTTTATTTTTACAAATAGTTTATTGTCAAGTTGGTTTCCATTTAACACCCAGTGCTCAAACCACAAGTGCCCCTCTCCGTGCCCATCCCGCCTCCCCCCCCCACATCCATCAGTCCTCAGTTTGTTCTCAGCATTCAAGAGTCTCTCATGGTTTGCCTCCCTCCCTCTCCCCGACCATTTCCCCCCTTCTTCTCCCCCTTGTTCCTCCGTCAAGTTCCTCCTAATCCTCCTATATGTGCAAACATATGGTATCTGTCCTTCTCTGCCTGACTTATTTCGCTCAGCATAACACCCTCAAGGTCCATCCATGTTGCTACACGTGCCCAGATTTCATTCTTTCTCATTGCCATGGAGTATTCCATGGTATAGATAAACCACATCTTCTTGATCCATTCATCCATTGATGGACACTTAGGCTCTTTCCATGATTTAGCTATTGTGGAGAGTGCTGCTATGAACATTGGGGTCCATGTGCCCCTGTGCATCGGCACTCCTGTATCCCTTGGGTAAATTCCTAGCAGTGCTATTGCTGGGTCATAGGGGAGTTCTGTTGTTAGTTTCCTGAGGAACCTCCACACTGTTTTCCAGAGGGGCTGCACCAGGTTACATTCCCAGCAACATTGTAGGAGGGTGCCCGTGTCTCCACATCCTCGCCAGCATCTAGAGTCTCCATCAAGCTTCTTAAAAGACCAGTCTATTCTCACCATCCGCACTTACTCCTCAACCTGCTGCTGTCTGTTTGCTGCCTTCCACCTCCATAGAAACGGCTCTCAAAAAGTTCTTCTTTGACATCTATTTTGCCTGGCTCTCCCTTTATGCCATGTTCAAGATGGTTAAATTCCATCATTTTGTAAAGCTCTCTCTTCCCTTGGCTTCTATCGCCCTGGCCTCCTCATGCCCCACCAGCACTTTTTTCTGTATCTCCCCCTTCTGTGTCTTCTGTGTCTCCTTGAGTTTCTACCCCGGGTCCATGGCCCATTTCTGTCTCCTGGCCCTCCTTGGGCACCATCTCATGGCTTGAAAACTCACACCCAAACCAATGACCGCCCCACTCTGTCCCCAGCCCAATGCTCTCCCCAATACTCAGTTGCAAACACTCATGGGACACTTCCTCCACAGGGCTGCAAAGCCTGTCCAAACTCTTCTCCCTCCCTACCCGTTACCCAAGCTGCTGCTCCTGTATTTTCAAAAGGTTGGTTTTATTTAATATAACCACTCTTCATAAGAGGGTTTGGATTCATTCTGACAAAATGAATCCTGTATATCACCAAACTCTCCAAACCTCATCTAAGTGCTGTGCATTATTTCCTGGCACGGGTGTAGATATTCCTATGAGGTCTCTCCTTC